CTCTCTCTCTCTCTCTCTCTCTCTCTCTCTCTCTCTCTCTCTCTCTCTCTCTCTTCTGCCTCTCTCTCTCTCTCTCTCTCTCTCTCTCTCTCTCTCTCTCTCTCTCTCTTTCTTCGTCACTAGAATCATAGATACGTTCTAGTGCTATTACAGCTACCTCTGTGACGGCGAGCGCGGTGCATCGTGATACACGTCCGTATAGCGATATACGCACGCTAATGTACTATTTGCTCAGCTATGGGCACCTGACCTAACCGCCCCACACACATCCTACGATCACGAGCGATGATGCACACACACACACACACACACACACACACACACACACACACACACACACACACAGGCTAGCTCTCCTTATACGTTACCACGACATTACAGTAACTAGCGACCGCACGTCGGACGCAAACCTACTCTACTGTCCCCGAGCATCCATAGAGGCTTCCATTCACTGCTGTCCGCTCGGGCCGTGTGTGTAAATAACGTGTATGCACTCGGCTTTGTGTATAAGGAAGGATCACGCAAGCGGGAAACTCTAAACGTGTCTTTTATAGAACGATATCCGATTTATAGAAGTACTTCAGCGAATAATTGCGACTCAATGGGAACGTTATAAGTGTCATTTATAGACAATTGTCCGTTCTGGGAAAGTAGCTTTCATATTTATAACATATCTTCATAGACATGTGTCCGTTCTGTGGAGGTTAGATATACAGGTATAACTGCAACTCAATGAAAACACAAACATACAGGTGTCCGTTCTGTGGAGGTAGTTTTACAGGTGTAATTGCATCTGAAAAAAAACACCAACAAATTTCTTCATAGACAGATTTTCCGTTCTGTGGAGGTAGTTTCACAAGAGTGTAACTGCTATTGCATGAAAACACAAAGAAATGTCTTCATATTTGGAAAGTGTCCGCTAATACCTGCTGTTTAATGTCCGCTGTTTAATTAACATCGTTTTTTAACATCAATTATTCCACGCAGATCATCGAGGCAATGGGTCCAGCGAACATCTTCTTCTTCATCTTCGTCATCTTCTTCGGTTCGTTCTTCCTCGTCAATCTCATGCTGGCAGTCGTCGCCATGTCGTACGAGGAGGCAGCCGAGGAAGTGGAGAGACAACACGTGAGTGATCGACGCATGCACGCTAGCATTCACCTTGTCAATATGCACACACACACACACACACACACACACACACACACACACACACACACACACACACACACACACACACACACTACACACTACTACACACACACACACACACACACACACACACACACACACACACACACACGCGTATTATCTTGCATGTGTAAACCTTTGGTACATAGAAAACAATTACCAGAAACCGTGTCACCAATGCTAACTCGATCATGTTACCTATCGCTCCCATTTGGCAGCAGTTTTGAGATATGTGAAATGACAGCGTACGATATACGTTTACAGTTACGATATATTCTCCTATTTATTAATGTGCTCAAAATAAAAACATAAACGCGCGCACGCATACATATATACTCAACAACAAAAATCCCAATCTTATGTCAACATTACGCACGTGTTTTTTTTATCTGCGCCAATTTTAGTTGTCACTCTTTAAACAAGCCGTTGAATGTTTTACGCTGTTGTGCTGAGAAGGGCTGGAGGCAAAATTCAATCTGACGCGTAACATAAACTAGACAGAGGGCACTCACGGAGAGTGCATACCTCCGCGAGCGTGTAACATGTATACATGTGTATAACAGCTGGCTCGCTGCTGGCTGCTGCTGTCTGGACGCCCTAAGGCGAGCTGGTGCTGAATCGATCGCGCCAACGCTACACACACACACGAACACACACACGCGACCGATTACATGACCTCCGTTGCGCGGAGGTAATTAACGTAATCCAACATGGATAACACGTCTTTCCTCGTATATACCCCCTTTCTCTTTTCCTATCATTGCCATTTTTACCTCCGCCAAGGGGTTGGCAGGAGGTTATGTTTTCACCGGCGTGTGTTTGACTGTT